AAATAAATAAAATCTTTAAAAAAAAAAAAGCAAATTCATTAATCTTTCTTATTCTAAACATTTTGGTGAATTATAGAAAATATCTCACAATATTATTATAAGACTAGAAAGAAGATGAAAAGAGGAGATATCAACAGTCTTGTAGAGAACTACTTTTCATTTTGTGGTGCATGTAATTGGCCCAGGGAGATTGATTTGGGAGGGAGTGCAGGGAAAATGGTTTTGTCTCCCGTGCGCATACGTATGCAGCTACCTTCCCCACTCTAGTCATTACACTCCCTGAACCCCAGACGGATGACTGCATTCATGAGGTCTAATCTGGGTGAAATGTCCTCAATCAGCTCTTCTGTGTAGGCTTGGGAAAAATACTTTGAGTATGCAGAATCACTTTTCTGCTACTTTTGGAAGACCAAATGCATCGTTAATTTGCAAAGTCTGGTTTTTTACAAGGCACCTTTTTGTTTCTTTTTGAATAGAAAGATGAAAACTATAGAAGCCTTCCACGGGATGCTAGTAACTGGTCTCACCAATTTCAGAGAGACAATGCTCGCTCATCTCTGAGTGCCAGTCACCCAATGGTGGACAGGTGGCTGGAGAAGCAAGAACAGGTAACATAAATGAATCTTTCTACACATGTCATTGGTGTAACTTCCTAGCCCATACCCTGAAAGATGTTTCCCTCCATCACTGTGATGATTAAAGGTAAATTACTCTAACAAACTTCAGGTAAGTACCAGGCTCTCTGTCAGAGTTTGTCTAATATGAGTATAAACTATTTCTGTGGTGGTCCCGGATCAAAGATTTCTCATAAGCGGTTATGAATATTTGCTGTGGATCCTGGAGTATCATGACTCCCGAACTTGTTACGTTGCTGAGGCATAGACATTTGGCAGTGAATAGTACAGCTTGAGTAGACTTTCAAGACCACTTATAGGTTCTTCTCTTTATTGATAAGCAGTAAGTCAAAGGACCTGAAGAGGCAAATTAAAATGTTCTATCTTACCTGACTTCACTCTGTAGGAGAAATACATTCTATAGTGTTATTTCAGAATTTCGATGAATTTGTCGGGTTTGGGGACTTTCCCTTTCATAAATGTCAGGGAACTATTTTTGAGGTTTGTAAGTTTTTAGAGGTGCTCAGTTTACTCTGCAGGATTGGCCAGCTACCATTCGTGAAATCAGCATCGTTTACCACTCAGTGTAAGTAACTGGTTCGTGTCCTGGGAAAAGCAGCTGTTTACAAACTTCTTATGACGCTGCTGGAGAAGCCGTCACCACATGAAGACTAAGAATTTATCCAGTTAGTTGTGACACATAAAAAACAAGTTCTTCCAGTGCTGTTGTTTAAAGTCTGAATTGTTTCTTGTTAGTCACAGTATTTTCTTTTTAGTGGAAATTCTAGGGTTTTCTTTGTTGTTTTAAACAGTTTTTGTATTAAAAACACACTTATCTCCTTACTTTGTCACTTATTTTCTTAAAAAAGTTCATTTAAAATTGAAGGCTAGTGAATACTAAGAATGTTTTGTTTTCTGTTTCAGTAATTTCTAAAATTATTAATAATTCTATTGCCTAGATAGTGGAGTAGTTGTTTTTCAATTTAGATTAGTGATGTCAGTGGGAAGAAGTCCTAACTTTACTTAATGCATCTTAGTCTGTGTTTTATAGCATAAGCCTCCTAAAATAATTTTGTGTGGGGGGGTGTTGGAATATGAAACAATAAAAAAAGACAGTTTGCCTTTGATAGCATGTATGGTATCACAAATGTACTGATTTTTATCATATCGTAAATGTTAGAATACATTAGAAGCATTGTGTGATGGAAATAATTTTAAATAATTAAAAAACCATGGAAGTCCTACTTAGGAAAAACATTATTTTCTCAAAATACAGATTTTAAACTCATTGGTGTTATTATTTCATTACCATTTTGAGCTAAATATTTTAAAGAATTAGTTTAGCATGGGCCTGTAGTCAGACTGGCTGGTTATTAGCTATCCACCATAAATGAGACTTGGGCATGTGGCTACCTTGTCCATACTTCAGTTTACTCGTTTATCAAATGGGTATAATCATAGAACCTGCTCCTACAGTTGCTGTATCCAGTGATGGAATACCTACCAAGGGGTTATTAGAATCATGCCTGGTACCCAGGAAAACTGTGTGTCTTAATATATTTGTTAGAAAAAAAGTTGGCTGGGCGCCTGGGGGGCTCAGTCGTTAAGCGTCTGCCTTTGGCTCAGGTCATGATCCCAGGGTCCTGGGATCGAGTCCCACATCGGGCTCCCTGCTCGGCGGGAAGCCTGCTTTCCCTCTCCCACTCCCCCTGCTTGTGTTCCTGCTCTCGCTATCTCTCTCTCTGTCAAATAAATAAATAAAATCTTTAAAAAAAAAAAAAAAAAAGAAAAAAAGTTGGCTGCCAAGAACAGAAATTCTAGATTGCCTAAGAAGATACTCCTTATTCATTTAACACGAAATCTGGAGGCAGGGGTGATTGGTGGTGTAGTCCACAACCCAGCGGACCTCACTGAGGATCCAGATCCTCCATTTGCTGGGAACTCGACACAGGGCCTCCATGTCTGTGTGCTCAGCTTGTCAGAGCCTCGGACATCACGTCCTTGTACGGGAGAGGAACAGTGCCTTTATCTTCTGCGTGGCTGTTTTTGAAAGCAGATAAACCTTTCCCACAAGCCCCTCCCCCCTCCCCAAACAGATGCCCTTCATGTTGTGTTGCCTAGCGTTATATGACTTGCATGCCAGTTTCTAAATAAAAGGGAGTTGTTGGTTGCGACTAGTTGAGCTTGATCTCCTGGAGCTGGGGGTGTGGGTGTGGCGGTTTGTCTTCCCTGAAACACAGCTGCTCATCACTGAATACAGTCAGGGTTCCCTTAAAGCAAGAAGGGAGGTACGGTTAGCTAATATGCTAAATATGATTATTGTTATTACAAGATTAGGGGAAAAAATTGGCAGTCCAGAGTTTCTAAAGTAGGATATATTTAATTATATTCTAAAAATACACTTTTATTTTTTTAATTGTTGTGGTTGTAGATGTGTTTTTAAGGAGGTAATATAGTTTTTCTTTGTAATTTTGGTATAAAATAGTTTCTTTTTACACAAAAGGAGTTGCATTGAGAAGCCACATACTTTTTTTTCTTCCCAAAAGACTTAGCCTCGATTTGCTTCTGTTGAAGTTATTTGAAGCATTTGTTCCTTGATAAGCAGGTTTTTAAAAAATAAGTACTTCCTTAGTCTATGTAGTCTAATGTAAATGGCATTAGTTAATTGATTCCTGAGCCTGAAAACATCTTCTTCCTTGACTTAAATTTAAAAAATGATGATCCATTCACTAAATTTGATGATTTCACATCAGCAGGATAATTAACGAAACTGAAATCTATTTAACTAGACAAGAACAGCAAAAACAACACAAAATCCATATTAAAACTTTGCCTAAAAGTAGGCACAATTGTTTGGGCAGAAGAGGACAAAGAGGTTATGCTGGACATACTGTAAATCTAGTCCAGATAGTCTCATTTAATTGTGCATTTATTCTTTTAACTGTTTCCCATGAGTCATCTGACTTTAATGGCCAAATATCTCTTCTGTGGGCTTTTTTCTCCTTAGTTTTTGCCATTAAAAATGTAATAAGAGATGAGCATTACATAGATAAAAATAATGTTTTATATGGTAAAAAACAGAAGTCACCCCCCTGCCTTTACAATTTGGGATCACCAGGGTAGAACTGCCTTCCATGAGTTATGCCATCTGGACTGAAGAGGTCAACAGAGTTCTAGATTTTATATGTCTTCAGTGGTTTTGTTTTGCTCTGTTTCCTACTAGATTGCTTGTCTCATTATCTCTGTTTTTTTTAAGGCAATTATGACCAGATCAGTTGTGCCAGTGGGAATAAACAGTAGGAATGAAAAGCACAAGAGAGCGTGTTAAAGTGCTGAGCTAGTAGGCACCTCTGGTAGCTGAAGGTGGCTTTCACTTTTTGTGGGGTTGATCCCCTATAAGGGGATATTGAATCTTTCCCTCTTTTAGAATATTTGTATGGTACGCACTCATATAATCAAAGGTAGGGGATGTATTTTATTAGAACTTTGTACCAGCAAGCACTTGGACTCAAGCTCAACGTGATTTCCAGAAATAGAAGTCTTACTTTTCAGTTGACTAATTCTTGCTCAGAATAGCCTGTAGCTGAATCCTACATCAGGTTCCTCTCAGAAGGTAGAGGACTGTGTATCTTTCAAAGAGCATCCTTTTCTTGTGACTTCCTTTTTCTGAGCTCTTAGAGGAAGCACAAAGAATTCAATACTAAATGGGTTGTTGTCGTATTGCCTTGAAAAAGTTTTCATGCTTCTGAAATTCTGACTCTGAGACCCAAGAAACAACAACAAAAAAATCAACAAAAGGCTTAGTTTTGATGTGTGGCAATGCTTTAAGAAATCTGAATTCCTTTTAACCATTACCATTTCCCTGACTCAGTGTAGACTATAATTTAATATTGGCAGATAATAGATCATAAGCTGACTTTGTTCTTATATCCCTACAGTTTATTGCAACTAATAAATTCCACAAAAGGAGGCAGGAACTTTACAATACGTTGTTGGAGGAATTTAAGGCCTGAAAGTAGAGGGACCTTCAGGGAAATTTAAGCTAATTGGGAGCCTGCCATTTTCACTACCTGGACTTGGTGAACAGACCTGAAGCCAATTAACAGAAATATCCAGGAGGTGCAAGGCACATTCCAGCCGCCACTTAAGCTCTGTTATAGGGGAATGACTGCCCTGACCTTTAGAGAAAAATCCATGTTTTAGGTTTTTTTTTTTTTTTCCATCAAGCAAAAACTTTGTCTAATTGGCAGATTATACTGGGGGAGGCAAACTGAGAGGAAAACTACCTTAAATGTTTGGTGATGACCCAGTTCAAGTGTGATAGTGGATGTGCGCTGTCCTCACCTTTGTCCCCTGGCCTTCTGGCCCCCAACGTTCAGTGTTGTCTCACAGCCATGAGTATAAGGAACAATGACAGTGCCCTTTCTTCTTATTTTGTGAACTTTTGTCACTGTCTACAGTCATAATGCTTCTGCTTCAAGTTTTTTCATGTGGAGAACATTCCTGACTTTTGATATTTATTCCTTCTGAGATGAAGATGGCTAATATGGGGATAGTGTCTGTTTTTACATTAGCCCGAGTCAAGTCCTAGATATTAGAAGTAGAAAATAGCTGAACCTTAAATAGAAAGCATACTTTTTTCTATTTTTAAATTTTAATTAATTAATTATTAAGTAAGCTCTATACTCAGTGTGGGGCTTGAACTCACAACCCTGAGATCAAGAGTCACAGGCTCTATGGACTGAGCCAGCCAGGTGCTTCTCAGTAGAAGTCATATTGAAATAAAATAATGCTTGAGAATAAATTTCTTTCATTTGTCCTGTTCTTAAAAAAGAGTTCTGCTACATTGACGGCTTATTCTGATACTTTTGAAAATATTTATGCTTTATAACTATTTACATGATACACAATGAGAAAAGGTAAGATTCTATGACAGGGTTTCATTTTTGCTTTTCATTATAATTTGATTAAGTCTAAATTTTGAACATCTAGAG